GCATTTATGATAAAAACCCTACAAACATTTAGAATAGATGGGTCTCTACCTCAATCTGATAAAAGCCATCTATGAAAAATGAACAGCCAATATACTAAATGGTCAACTTCTTCACACTAAAATCAGGAACAAGACAAGGATGTCCACTATCACCACTCCTGTTCAATGTAGCTTTAGAAACATTAGCCACAGCAATTAGACAAGAGAAAGAAATGAAAGGAATAAAGATAGGAAATGAAGAAGTCAAATTGTCATTATTTGCAGATGGCATGAAACTCTACATACAGAAGACCCCAAGAACGCCACCAAAAGTCTTCTAGACTTAATAACCAAATTCAGTAAAGTAGTTGGATAGAAGGTCGACACACAAAAATCAATAGCTTTCTGTACATGAACAACAGACTCACTGAGAAACAGGGGAAACAATTCCTTTCAAAATAGCATCCAAAAAATTGAAATAGCTAGGAGTCAACCTAACAAAAGAAATCAAAGACCTCTTCTCTGAAAACTACAGCACTCTGAAAAGAGATTGAAGATGATATCAGAAAATGGAAAGACATCTCCTGCTCCTGGGTAGGAAGGATCAACATAGTGAAAATGGCCATACTTCCAAAACTGCTATATAGATTCAAAGCAATCCCAATTGAAATCCCAGCAGCATACTTCACAGATCTGGAGAAAACAATCCAAAAATTCATTTGGAACCAGAAGAAACCTAGAATAACAAAAGCAATTCTAGGCAACAGACATGGCAGGGGGTATCACAAACCCCAACTTGAAACTATACTACAAAGCTACTGTGATTAAAAAACAGCATGGTACTGGTAAAGAAACAGACCTAGGACCAGTGGAAACAGATTAGAAGATGCAGAAACAACTCCAGACACACTCAGCCACCTCATCTTCCACAATGGAGCTAAACACCCTCACTAGAGGAAAGATAGCCTCTTTAATAAATGTTGCTAGAAAAATTGGGTTTCAACTTGCCAAAGATTAAAACTAGACCTATATCTCTCACCATGCACTAAACTAAAATCTAAATGGATTAAAGATCTAAATATTAAAACAGAAACACTGAACTGACTGGAACAGAGGTTAGGTAGAACTCTTGAAGACATTGGTGTAGGAAAAGATTTTATGAACAAAAGCTCAGTTGCCCATGAACTAGCACAATCAACAAGTGGGATCTCTTCTTACTAAAAAACTTCTGCACACCAAGAGAAACCACCAACAGAGTGAAGAGACAACCCACAATGTGGGGGAAAAAATTTTCACCTGCTGTTCCTCAGACAAAGGTCTACTATCTCGAATCTATAAAGAACTTAAAAAAAATCAGACTTCCCAAATTTAAAGACCCAATCCAAAAATGGGCATCTGAAATGAACAGACATTTCTTAGACAAAGACGAAAAAGCAGCAAATAAACATGAAAAAGTGTTCAACATCACTAGTCATTCGAGAGATGCAAATGAAAACAACGCTGAGATTCGATTTCATCTCACCCCAGAAAGAATGGCTGCTCTCATGAAATCAACCAATAGCCAATGCTGGCGGAGCTGTGGCGAAAGAGGAACCCTGCTCCACTGCTGGTGTGAGTGTAGACTGGTGCAACCACTGTGGAAATCAGTATGGAGATAACTCAAAAGAACTAGGACTGGAAGTCCCATTTGACCCAGCTATTGCCTTGCTGGGTATCTTTCTATAAAAATTAAAAGAATCATACCACAGTGATATATGTGCACTCATGTTCATAGCAGCACAGTTTGTAATAGCTAAAACTTGGAAGCAGCCCAGTCGCCCATCTACTGGAGACTAAAGAAAATGTTTTTTTATAAAATGGAGTACTACTCAGCCATAAAAAATGATTAAGACATTTATAGCTAAATGGATGCACATTGGGATGATACTCTTAAATGAAATAAATAGGACACATGTGTAAATATTGAATAGTTTCTCTTGAGCGAGAAACTCAAAGTGTAAATAAGGAGTAAAAGGTATAATAAATAATGTGAAATAGGAAGAAAAGGGGCAAAGGGGAAGGGGAAGTGGGAGGGGTAGGAGAAAGGAAAGAAGGGAATGGAATTAATATGAGATAAAGAAAAAATGGAAACAAAGTCTTTGTAGGTAGGGAGGGGTGGAGGGGTTGAAGGGCAGGGGAATGGGGAAAAAATAAGAACCAAGAGAGATTATATAAAGGTGCAAATTTCCAATGATGAATGTCATTATATTGTGGACCTAAAATGTTCCAATAAAATTAATTTAATTTTATTTTTTGGTACCGGGGATTGAACTCGGGTCCTTGTGCTTGAGCAGTAGGCGGCGAAACCACTGAGCTAAGTCCCTGGCCCCCCAATAAAATTAATTTTAAAAATACTTCTTTTTAAACATTATTTGGATTCTTATACTACTACTATAATTTTGGCATCAACACCATTTTACTAATTTATCAACGAAGAAAGAGATCAGGGAGTTTACGTTATTGAATTTATACAACTGAAAGAAGCAGTTTCACAAACAGATTAACTCAGAAGTCTCTTCCTAATGTACATGATTTTATTCTATGGCTTTCTTTAGCTATAAATTATAGAGACTAAATTGTCAATTTTGGGTTTCAACTTGACTGGATTGAGGAATGTCTAGAAAATTGGTAAAGCATACTTCTGGTTGTCTCTGTGAGGGTTTCCAGAGAAAACTGGCATATGGGTCAGGAAACTGAATAGGGAAGACCCCTACTAAATATGAGTGGCCTGTCAATAGGCTCAAAGGGAAAGTAAAAGCATAAGAGGGATGCTTTCATTTGTCTATGCTAGACCCTTCTTTTTTGGTACCAGGGATAGAACTCAGAACCTTGTGCTTGCGAGGCAGTTGCAGTGCCACTGAGCTAAATCCCGGGCACTGCTAGAACCTTCGTGAGCAGGTATGTTTTTTACTGCTGCTGTGGATATCAAACTCCAGATTCTTCAGCCTTTGAATATGGCTTGGGCTGCACCAGTAGCTCTCCAGGGGGTTTTTAGGTCTTTGGCCTTATACTGAGATTGCATACACTCCCCACACCTTCACTGTCTCTCTCCTTTTCTCATCTACTACCTAGCCATATGTGCATTCACTCCAAAGGTCCATTTACTCAAGGGTCATTTCCCTTTCACCTCTGCCCCTTTGTCTGACAACAGGTTAACAGGTATATTTTCTGTCCAAAGTATGCTGTAGCTAATATAAAAAATGTTAAATATGCCATATTACGACCAAATCCTGGGATGTAATTTAAAAAATGAGACACTGGCAGTAATAAGGTACAAAGTGATGCAGATAGCCTAATTACTTATATTCCATTAAGGATTAAATATATGAATAAATATTTTTGAAATCCTCATGCAAGGTTGAATACACGTATTAAAAAAAAAAATTAAAGACTGCAAATCAGCCCACAGGCCACCTAAGAATGAAAAGAACTGGTATTTGGGTTAATATAGGAATGAAGACACATACCTTAGCTGACTGTGGTGTTGAGAAATTTAGCCAAGCAGGAACAAAGTCATGCTGCGCCATTTAGGTCCAGTGTCTCTTTTCAGCAAGGTGAGGCATCCAACCTCATGGCCAGGAACTGAAAAAGAGACAATTTACAGTGGTTTTGCCGCCTGCTGTGCAAGCGCAAGGACCCAGGTTCAATACCCCGTACCACACACACATTAAAAAAAGAGACAATTCAAATCATTTATTCTTGTAAGACTCTCATACTAATATGTAAAGGAATCTAGAACTCTAAACATCTCTTCTCGGGCCAGGGATTTAGCTCAGTGGTGCTGTCACCTGCCTCACCAGTGCAAGGTCCTAAATTTGATCCCCGGTAACAAAAAAAAAAAGGTCTCTTCTCTAAGCCTCTACTTTTGAGGTTCCAAATTTTAAGAGGTTGTAAACAAAAGCAATAGTCTGTAAATATATGACCATGAAAAGCACATAAACAGAAAAATGTGCTATGAGTCTGCAACATTATACGAAGGAAACTAATGCAATGAGTTACATTAGAAGAACCTGAATAATAAACACCTACTTAAAACTACAACAGAGCTACTTATAAAAGCAGTTTGCTTCAAACATTTGGATAACTTCTGGAAAAAGCAGAACAGATCTTCCTAGAGAACAAAGACAACCTCTGAAAAGTTTTTCTATCAATATTCTCCAAATTAAATACTATCAGAAAGCAACAGATACTTTTCATGGAACATATACATACAATTTTCTTCCAGTTAAGACATATACAGAACATTTACCCCAGAGTGTAACCTCTGTGGTCCTGTTTTCCAACTCCTTGAGGTTACCAGCTGGATTTCCCGAGAGATTTTCTTGTTAAAAGGGAGCTTAAGTAGCCTGGCCAGCAGCACACCTTGTGATGAAGCACAGAGAAGGCCGGCTCCTTGTGGCTCACTTTCTTAGTCCCTTCAATTGCTCATTCTCAACTACCTAGTGCCAGACACGTTTCCAAAAGGGGGGAGGGGGAGGGGAAGGGGGGGAAGGGGAACATAAAAAGTATTTGTTACATTTAAAAAGAGGGGTAAGGGGGAAAAGCTATGTCTATGTTCACCTCATTCAACTTCCTTGAGTAACAGCACTATAATGCTTAAATAGGTAATACATGGACATTTGCACGATGAGGGCAAACACTTCATAAATAGGTCATAGTTAGAAAGACAGGTTGATTGATGTGCAGGTAAGTAATGTCATCAAGGTGACAGATCAAAAATATAATATTAAAACACAATCAAAAAATCTTTGGAGCAGTCAACTCCAGTGGTAAACCCTCCACATGACAAAGCCCTCAAAACACAAATCTCATTATTTTTATACAGTTGCTAAAAATAGTGTGTAGATATGTATAATTAATTGTCTTAACCTTCAAAATCTAAGGACCTAAGAAATCTTGCTTTAAAAAAAGGATCAGACAGGAACTTGATAAACTTTTTCCTCTACAGAATAGCAGCTTTCAAGGCAAATCTCTTGGTATACAGCTCTTAAACATATGTTCTATTTCTTTGGTCTTCACTATTTATAAATGCAGCAAAATTAAAACAAATAGAAAGTAGTAGGGAGTAAGGGGTAGTCAAAGAGAAAGTTCCAAAATGAAGTTTTCTTCGCTTCAGTTTTCAGTATTTCACTTGTTCTGCTCCTTTCCAAAAACTGAACTGAGTCACTGGAAGGTGATGTGAAGAATCTTCTACTGCTTTGGTGGAGAAGTAACTTAATGTTTTGGATCCATTTTCATCATTATTCAATTATTAAAAAGGTCACATGAATCTACCAATCTGTAAATGAAAAAACAAGATAACAGAATCACAAGGAGCAAAATCACTGTCATATATAATTGCTAAAATGAGTCAAATGATCTTGGTCTTGAGAGTCAAAATCCAATTTAGATATTAAATATAATGTGTTACGACTTATAACAACATAACTGGATAGTAAGTCTTTTAGGGATTTAAAAAAGTACCTAAACAAAGCGTAATAAAAATTCAGAAATGCAGGGCTGGGGATTTAGCTCAATGGCTTCACCACCTGCCTTGCAAGCGCAAGGACCCGAGTTTGATCCCCAGTACCAAAAAAATAAAAATCAGAAATGCAAATTAATGGTTGGACAGACAGATGGATGGATTCACCCATCCATCCATCCATCCATCCATCCATCCATCCAAGTGCTGGGGATTGAACTCAGGGCCTCACACATGCTAGGCAAGTGTGCTACCAAATGGATCTTTTTAGATTTAGATTTTTCTCTCATAAGTGAAATAGCTTGCTATAAGTGGTCAAAGAACCATTATAGCTTGCTGGTATATTACCACAGGCATCAATATCTAATTAATAATATCCATAGCTAGAGGCTTAAAGCAAGATACCTGTCACAGTATGCCTCATGTATCTATATAATACTTATCTCTGGATACTTAGCTATCAATTTGAGATTTAAAAACACTTATGCTCTAACTTGATATGCACTGAGATGACAAAAATTTCTCTGGCAAATCTCCAATGTTCTTTTAGAACTAAAAAATTGTTTGTTTTGTAATTGAAGACAGGGTCTCAATATTCCAGGCTGGCCTCGAACTCACCTGCCTCAGCCTCCCTAAAAAGTTTTTTGATAGAAGAGAATTTCTGTATCCGTGGGCAATTCTGGTCTGTACTGGCATTTTAGTTTGGAGGATATTCTCATGTATCCAACTTGGCAGCCTTGATCTTGATCTACTCTTATTTACTTTTCCTCACCATACCAGGACTGAACCCAGGGCCTATGAGCTGAGCTACATCCCTGGCCTTTTTATTTTGAGACAGGGATTTATCTAGTCACTAAGTTGCCGGGAAAGGCTCAAACTTTTTGCCTCAACTTCCTAAAATAGTGAATATGTCTGTGAGGAAATGAAAGGAAAAGAATTTTAAAAGGGTTCCAGAGGTATTCAACTATGTATGTATTGCATTATTTCTCATGCTGAGTGATAAATACAAGACTATATACATTACTCTCCATGGTTCTCATGTGCTTCTAATACTTAAAGAGTAATAATAGAATTGTTGGGCATGGTGGCACATGCTATAATCCCAGCACTCAGGAGGCTGAAGCAGGAGGATCACCCTGAGTTTGAGGCCAACCTGGGCTACATAGTGAGTTCAAGGCCAGTCTGAACTCATGGCAAGACCCTGTCTCAAAAGAGTAATAGGACAATCATATAAAAGATCTGAATAACGTAAAGTTGAAATATAAGTATATGTATCAAACACACTATATATTCCTTGAGCACAACTGGAACAGTCATAAAAACTGCCCATGTACTAGTTAAAACAAAATCTCATTTCAAAAGAATAAAACATTCCACGTTCTCTGACCATACTGTATAGAAATTTTAAAATGACTTTTGTTTTGCACCTCCCACTCTTTCTCCCCTTCCTGAAGAAATTCTATCCAAAAGTCAATAGAAATTGTCAAACAAAGTAAGGATGTATGGGGTGGCAGGAAAAAGAGCTGCAGAAAAAAGGAGCCACAGATGTCCATAGCAGGGTCTTCTGTCTAATTAGGATGTGAAGGGTATCTATATGGACAGGGGTCTGAATCTCCATAGGTTGCTTTTTTGGGCAGCAGGCAGATTATTTTGAAATTAAGCTGGAACAGGACAGGTTTGCTCACTGACACAGGCCTGGAGTTCTGGGCCAAACTGTAGACAGAACAGCTAGTTTAGGAATAATTATTTGCTGCTGGTTCTCTGGTTCAGAGTACATGTACCCCCTCCCCCCCAAGAGAAATGAATCAAGAGAGATTACTGAGTTACATCCCCAGCCTTCTAAAAATTTCATACAGAGTCCTGGTAAACTGCCTAGGCTGGTCTCAAATTTACAATCCTAGGGCCAAGGATGTAGCTCAGTGATGTCATGCCTGCCTGGCAAGCGCAAGGTCCTGAGTTCAATCCTGGTGATCAGGGGATTGGGGACACAGCCTGGCCTTGAACTTGTGGTGATCCTCCTGCCTCAGCCTCTTGAGTGCTGGGATTGCAGGTGTGTGCCACCACACCTGACCTCAAACTCACAGTAATCTTCCTGCCTCAGCCTCCGGAGTGCTGGGATTACAGGTGTGCGCCACCATGCCTGGCTTTCAGGCCTTCTTTAAGTAAGGTATTATTCTACCTGTGCCCCTGATCTCAACCACTCTCATTTTCTCCAGAGTCCAGTAGCATTACCAATTACTGCTTCTGGTAACTTCAACCTTTATGCACACTGGGTTCATCTATCTAATAAAGACAGACAGACAACTCATTTCTTTCCCAATATGAAACAAAACCCCTTTCTAAAGCCTGAATTTCCCTCTAAGCGTTTCTATTCTTCTTTCCAATCTTAAAAATTATATAAAGTCTATTCACTCTCCCAGAGAGCCTACTCACTCCTAACCAGAGAAAACTTTCCCTTGAAACTTACTGAACACTGACATGTCCTTAATTTTGAAATATCCCTATTAAATCAATTTGTTAAGTTTATAATAAGAATGAGTAAATTTGTAGAGACTGATGAATGACAGTGAATAAATGATTTTCACTGGAGCAAAAAATGAATATAGGTTTAATAGTATTCAAAATATTATGGGGAAAAATTATGGGAATATTAATGAATTGTTTTTTAAAAGTCCCTAGGAAAGTCAGTAAAAATGAACTCTTAAAAAAAGAAAACCTAAAAAACAAAAAAACCTAAATCACTTATGTGTGACAAATGTTCCTGAAGTGTAATATGGAATGTATGCCCTAAACTTGGAACAAAAAAAACCCCTTTATTTAATTCTCCCTTTCTGATGCTGACATGCTAATTCTGACAAAACCATAATTTTAATTAAACACATCTTCAACCATAAATGATATTTCTGTTCTGCTATATAAAATAATTTAGAAATGTCTTCCTGTAATGCTACTGAACTCTGGCTGGTGCACAGAGATCTTTCTTTTAATAGCCTATGGGAAAATCCCAAAATATGCAGTGTCTGACTTAACCAGTCTTGTTTAATTTTGGCTCTATAAACAAAGTGCCTTCAAGTACAAGAGCAACAGATACAATTTAGTAATTTGATAAGACTTCTTTGGTAAAGGCTTTTGGGTATGCCTTCTAGAAACAGAAAATTCTTGACTGGGTAGCAAATCATTTCATAAATCAGACAGTTTGTAATTCTTGTATCTCCTAGAAATGAACTAGGATATAATCTAGTTTTCAGTTAAGAAATTATGAAGAATTTTGATAATGCAATGTGAGGGATTTTTGGTAAGTATTCAAAGTATTTTGTGGCTGATGTAATGGCATACTGTATAATAATCTTAGAACTCATATATGAAGTGAAATACATGAAGTTGGCCCAATATTGAATGCTTTTTGTTCTAATATAACATTTTCCTAGAGCATTGATCTTATACCATATATAGTATCAGGTGTCTCCCACTGATCTCAAGCACAAAGAACATTATCTGGCTCACAGTAGATACTCAAAAAGTATTTACTGAATGAATGTGTAAATAAAGGAAAGGAGGGCCCGGGGATTTGGCTCAGTGGTTCCGGCACCTGCCTAGCAATCACAAGGTCCCTGTTCAATTCCCGGTACCCCCCTCCAAAAGAAAAGGAAAATAAAGGAAGAGGTTGCTGACTAGTACATCTTCAACTTCACAAAGTAATACCATATCACTTTCTAACCAGGTGTTAACAGCTTATATTATCAGATGCAATATTTGAAGAGTTGTTTGCCCCCACACACTCACCAAAATACAGAGTGCCAGGCCAGAGGTTATTCTTTACTTTGCTGGAGTATACAAAATGGTAGTTTTTTGTTTGTTTGTTTTGTAGACAGGGACTCACTATGTAGCCCAGGGTATCCTAGAATTTGCAACCCTCATTTCTCAGCCTCACAAAGTACTGGGATTACAGGTGTGTACCACCATGCCTGGCTGAGTCTTTCTCTTTTGCTTTTTTAAAAATAAAACCTATTCTTATTTTACCATTCTTTTATTGATCTTACTTACATAGTATAAAATACGTGTTGCAAATATCTTTCCTCAAGGCTATCCCCCCATAATAAACCTTTTTTTTCTTTTAGGGAAAATTTTTTTTGTTTTGAGGGTTTTGCGGTACTGGGGATCGAACTCAGGACCTTGTGCTTGCTAGGGAGGTGTGGCGCCACTGAGCTACATCCCCAGCTTGCCAGGGGTGGGGGTGTTGGGGTGTTTTTAAGACTATGTAGTCTGGGCTGTCCTAAAACTTGTGATTCTCCTGCCTCCCAAATGCTAGCAGTACAGGAGGCACCTCTATTCCCGCCAGGAAAAGGTTTCTATAGAAAACCAAGTCCCTATCTATCCCCTCATTTACTGCTTGGGATGTTGTTTATTAGGACATGAAGCTGGAGCAATTATCTTGTGATAAGGCCATGTCCATGTAATGAAGATGGCAGAGCAAAGAAAGAGCCTGGAGAGCCAGCTTTAGGACTACCAATCCCAAGATATTTATGTGAGATAATAAAATGCTGTCTTAGTCATTTTCCTGTTGCTGGGACAAAATACCTAACACCCACAACTTAAAGAAGAGTACTTTATTTTAGTTCATGATTTCAGCCCATGGTCGGCTGCCTCTAAGGTTGCAATAGGATGGCAGAGAGGCATGGCAGAGGGAAAGGTACTCAAGCCAATGGAAGGCAAGAGACTGAGTCCAACAATCTACCTTTATTGAAGGCCTTGCCTACTGACTCTCGTATAAATTTTACAACAATCATATCAAATTTGAGGGAAAATTCTGTTATGAA